CTCTAAATACCAGACAGTAATGTATAAAGTATAAAGTAATTATACAAAAAACAGATTCTCTGTAAATGACCGAGCCAAGTAAATGTTTATAAGGTATGATAATTATTTATTAAAAGAAAAAATCATAGTATGCCAAGTATGCTTATTTAAAATAAAATTGTAGAAACTCATAACAGTATTCTATATTTTTAAATAAATTACACATTCATTTATTATTAAATTATTATTAATTGGTACAAATGATGCGCCAAGTAACTTCTACTAATTTAAATTATGTTTCTAAAATTACCAATAATCATACTTGGCATACTTGTATAAAATTATAATCTTTAAATAACTTCAATTTCACAGATGTAACACAGAAGCACACTTTGAACGTGTACTTGCTTTAACTCAGGATTTTATTTCTCGTAACTTTACCTTCAAAGCTGTAGTTAAAGTCATAAAGCATAATAGTAAATAGTTTCTTTACTTAGCTTGGGTTCTGTCGGTACCTAACTCACTTTTATTTTATATATTTGATTTATTTTTAGCAAAACTACTGGGTTTACTCTCAATATTTAATGTTTTTTAAATTTATTTAAGTTGTTTACGGCGTACCTCGGTTATACAACTTCTAAGTAAGGGACAAACTTTAAACAGTTACCGTCACAAAGAAAGACCAACGGCTAGTTTACAACCAAAGTTCGTGGGAAGGAACAAATTCAATTCTCTCAACTATATTTTCTTCATACTTTACTCACACAAATTCATTCTTTACAAAACTCATTTCATTTTAGTGCCTTTAAAAAAGCCGTACAATAAAAAGATTTCCGGGCTGCAAATAAATAAACAAAAAATTTCATATTTTAAATCTCAGGTTTGTTTTAACATAATTTATAAAATCATTCAATTTAAATCAATCAATCAATTAATTTTATTAAATTTTATTTTTTAGAGCCGAAGGAGTAGAGCTTACAATTAGACAAAGAAAATAGTGTATCCGGGATTGATTGTAATCGTACATGATTCAACGAAAACCGGATGTCTGTACTCGGTACGCGAGTGAATTTCGTAATAATTGTCTTGGGTTTTCTGTTTCATTTTTCATTTTCATTTATATTAATTGCGCAAGCGATCTCTTTTAAATGAAGGTCTAATCGCTGCTTGCCGAAACTTAAATAAAGTAGCTAGTATAAGCCGAGACAATTAAATTCTTGATAATAAAGCGGCCTACTTACATTGCATTAAACATAAAGTAAAGGGAGTGACTTTGTGAGTGCAGACAAAGATTATGATTGCTTTGAGATAAAAAGTCGGGTGTATCGAGGCGACTGTCTTTGTAAATTTAAATAATCGGCCAGCAAATATACCAACGATTTGCGCAAACGTCTTGATCGCAGGGATATCAGGCAAACATGAGCTAAGTATAATATATAGCTCACTATCACAGTGTTGTTATATATTTATATACATATGTATAATAGCAGTGAGTCACGAGACGACAGTGAACAACTCTGTGAACGTGAATGCGGAGTTTGTAACACGCGCATGTTGTTGCGCGTGTCAGTTTTACCACTCGGGAATAAAAGTTAGTATAACTAACTAATATAATGTTATGTTACAACAAAGCAACAATCACACGACAATGACAGTAATAAGTCCGATGTGTAACACTAATAATAATATTAATTTAAGTTTAAGTTATGTCAAGGCCGCCCGGAATTTCTCAAATGTCTTCTGGAGGGTAAAAACAAAACTAATTGAATCTATTATCTTGATTTTTTCAGTAAATGCCTTTTGTATTTTATTTAAATTTCTTTTTCAAGGATCTAAGCGTTATGTTGCGTGCTATGATGAATATTTTGTTTATTTAGCCTTAAATTTTAGATAGTGGCAGCAGAATTATGCCGATGGGCATGTAACGGTACTCAATGATTAGCACACTAACCAACATAAAGGTGATTTTTTTCAACCTTGTATTCAAAATTTTTATAATAATTAATTTTATTACTTTTTAGGGAAAGTATAGCGTTATTAATTTTTAATTTGTTATTAAATAGCAACGTTTGACCTTAACAAGTTTCACAAAGATTCATTAAGAATTTAGGCGCAATCACACCCGCATTATAGCGCCTACATACATTAATTTTTGAATGGATGGTTGTTTTGAAACTTACTTTACTATTCAAGAGATATATTCTGACAAAATTGTCAGTAAATTTCATCATGAAGACAAATTTAAGAGATAATATTAAAGTTAGCCGACGTTTTTAATTTTTTTTTCAATAATTATATTGGAGCAAAAAAATATTTTTAAAAAATTGCACTTAAAGTTTTTCAAGTTTTTTACAAATGAAAATTTTTTTCTTATTTTTTTAATGAAAAAAATTTTTTAAATTATTAAATGTCGACTAACTTAATTTGCATATTTAAATGAAATTTTTAAAAAATGTTACAACTTTTTTTCACACTGATAAAAAGATTTGTTTATAGTTAAAAATATTTGTTAATATTCAACAAACAAGAGACCACTTTTTAGTCCTTAAAAAATATTTATTAATATTTAATAAATGAATATCAGATTTATTAAATACAAATTATTAATTTTAAATACTAAGAAATATTTGTTTAATACTAAAAAGTGGTCTCTAATAAATAATTTCGACGGTCTAATTAGCAATTGGTCTCTCCTTATTTTTTAAAAGGTGATTTTTTAACATTTTGATGTAGTAATAATCTAATTATAAATTATTTGAATGATCCAAACCAAAATATTATACTTCTGGAAGATATTAAATTGTTTTTTAAAGTAATAATAAATTTTTAACTAATTGTTTTTTCTAAAATGGAGTTAAAAAATTTGCTAATTAGAACGTCGATTTGTTAACTATTAAATATTTTAATACAAATAAATCCTTCTAAGCGCACAGAAAAAAAATTAAGAAGAAAATTTTTGGAGCAAAAAAAAATTATTTTAGATTTTTAGATTGTAAAATTCATGCATTTAATATTGACTGAAAATTATTTGACTGTTTGTTAGTTTTTAGGCGGTAAGCTGACCACAGGTTGCGTGGTTGACATGAGCGTGAGCTTAGAGAAGATAATTGGTGAGGTGAAGAATGAAGACATAATCGCGCAGACGTATGAGTACATGTATTACCCGGAGAACAGAATCAGAATTTAAGTAACTTGAATGGAGAGCATAGTATGTATAGCAAAAGCAACTAAACGCAAATAGATATTCAAGTTGCGGACGCGTGTCTTAAACCTGACCATGCGCTTGTATGTCAATTATTTGTTATATTTTTACCGCGCGACTTGCGCTCTACTTATAAAGAGACATGATTATGTCAACGGTCATTAACCATTAATTCACTCTACACTTCAATTCACTTAATGTAACTCATTACCATTACCATTACTCGTGCTCATGTGTATAAACATATAACACAGACATTAACTCTATTTACTTACATCAATTCCGTCTTGGCATTTCATTCAAGTTCAGTTCATCCGCTCTAATCGGTACGGGGATCCCATATTTGTCAAATCAAGCTAATCACACTTTTTCCCACACTGTCGATGTCTCTATACACGAAACTCTCATTACTCATTATTATTTTAGTTATAAATATAACAACGAGGCTTTATGTAACCGCGATTTACTAATTTTATGAGAGTATCTTATATTACGTACATATACTTTCGCCCCATATTTATTTACGTGACATGAAATATTTAATACTGAATACCGGTGTCCCACTGCTCGCATTCTTTTCACATTTTTACTCATCACTGCTGATACATCAACACATACAAATTTATCTATGTGTTTATTATTATATTAGCTTCTTAAGACTTTTATTATATATTACACGTCATATAATTATTGCACGTATTTTTTCATAAGAAAAAAAAACCGCGAAAGCGTGACACGATTTTAATTAATTCAATCCCGGAAGGAAGTTATATTTTTATCATTTTGTTTTAATTATTAAAGAAAAATTAATGGAATTGAATTGGTAATTTAATATTAGTATTCTGTAAAAAAAAAAAACTACTTATTAGTGTAGTGAAAAAAAATTATTAATTAGATAAATATTGAAGAAAATTTAATTTTCTACAAAATAAGGTTTAAAAAAAAATTTTTCTACACTGATGGATTTATTTTTATCAAAAAAAAATTTCTTAATCATTAACAAATCATTAGAAACCACTTTTTAGTATTAAAAAAATATTTCTTAGCATTTAAAATGATTTATTTGTATTTAATAAATCTGATATTTATTAAATATTTGTTAAGGACTAAAAAGCGGTCTCTAATAAATTAAAATAAAAAATAAAAAAAATTTTAATTACAAATTTAAAACTGAAAACTCCCTCAGTGTTTATATATTTGTAAATATATATATATATATTAAAATTAATATTTATATAAATTTATGAACGTCATTAGCATATCTCTCGTTATCAATTTTATCTTTTAGTTTTCTTTTTACACGACATTCCATGTTGACAAGGTGAACTAATATTAAACTCCGTTTTAGAGTACAAACACACAAAGTATAAAGTATAAAGACAAAAAAAGTGCCTCAAAAGCAAAAAGCCACACAGTAGATACTAGATCGATTATTAAAACTTGAATAAATTTGTGTTATCAGTTCTTAACGGAGTTCTTAATTTTAGTATAAAAATAGTTTAAACTTTAAAAAGGACTAAGTAATAAAATTATCCAGTTGACTTGATCTCGGCTTTGAAATATAAATATAAATTGCACTTGACTAACCGTACAACGCAATTTATCGGTTATATTTATTGTCATTATTTTTATTATTATTTCAATATTTTTTAACGTGTCATCGCGTCGAGCGGTCTCCAACCTCTATATCCATATGCCGGGGTTCAAATTAAATGACGTGTGTAAGAGAATAATCATTGGAATTTCCAACTTAAATAAATATACAATATACATGTACAAATCATAATAATAATTATTTTTAAAAAATATCTGGGATTCCTTTTTTGAACACTTGAACAAAGAAAAGGAGGTAGAGGTACATTACTTAAACTATCAGCATGCCTTATCCATATCAATATACATTTATGTAGATGTATTGGTGATATGTATGTATGTATGTGACTTTTTATTATATCCTATTATATACCCTAGGAGCATATGTACGGTGACGCAATTACTGGGATGTATGTGCGGTGTACCATCGGAATAGACCGGAAGCCCAAGTACAAGCTAACTGGTTCGTTGTGTGCCTTCTCAGCCAATGTAAATAGTCGAAGAAACTATTGCGACTCTGACTCCTCGCTCGGGAAAGCTTCAGTGGCCATTCGTCTCTTCAACAAACCAGAACAATTTCTTCTTCGGTACAAACTTTCTTCCTATATTTATTTTTTAAATTTCCTTAAAAAAAAAAAAAAAAAACAACCAAAAAATATTAATAAAAAATTTTATTTATATTTATTTGCAGTGAAGAAGTTTGCAGTGTAAAAAAATTAAAAGTTTTTAATATAAGAAGAAATATAATCGAATCGGCTCAATATAAATTTTTATTGTCGCCATTATCAATACGATTATTATTATCGTCGAAACATCGCTCGAGATAATATAACTTATTGCCAGTCGCGCTGAGAACTCACCAATACAAGGTGCTTAATAATTATTCGCACACCGAACAAATTTTATTATAAACCGATAAATAATCGGGTCAAGATACAGTTTTTTTTCTTCAGATATTAAACTTAATTAATTAATTATTAATTATATTGTGATTAAGTTCTCGGATAATTAACTGGGACTGTTTATGAACAACAAGTGAACCAATGTGGGATTTAAAAACTCTAAAACAATGTCGTGTCGTAAAAAAATTGACTCCAAAATATGGGTTGACTATTGGACGGTAAGAAGAGGTCTTAAATAATTATTATTAAAAATCTAAATTTGTTCACGGAAGTTCTATGGCAGTTCATGTCGGTAATTTTTAAAACCCAACCAGTCACGCCGATAATGTCTAGTTCGTTTTCTTCTTATATTTCTAATATTTCTTCTGTTCTGTTGTGGGTACTCATCTATACTGTAGTAGAACGGATAGAAGGAATAAACCTCCACGTTTATTCGATACGATTGCTATTATATACTCATACTTATTCTTGTGCAGAGTATTAAGAATATTTCATAAAGCATCATCGATATATCGGCAGTTCGTGCTTATAAATATATTTTTAATGCATATCTACTCCATAAATCAAGATTACAAGCCTCTTTTAGCTTTATTAAACTCCCAAATCAGCTGACAGCATCAGTATCTTTATTTTATTTTTATTTGAGCAAATATAGTTGCTTTTTTCTGGGGAATTGAAGGCGTCAGTCGATTAAGGTGTTATGTTTTAATTTTTTTTTATTTTATTTGTTTTTAAATGTTATGTAAGGTATGATTGTTAGTGAAATATGGTGGAAACACTCATGCGAAGAATATTTGAGAATCTTTGTATTGTTTCAAGTAATTCTAATTGTATTTAATTAATGTGTGATAGTAATTTTTTAATTTGAAAGTTTTTACACTATTAATTAAAGTTTGGACTTTTAATTTAACTTCTGGCTAAATTATAAGAGATAGGATGAAATTAAAAACCTTTTTTTTATAGGAAATTTAATTCTTTATAAAAAAAAGTCTCTTATAATTTTTTTGTATCTAATATTTAATCCAGAATTTTTAATTTTAATTTTGAAAAATAAATTTTTCTATTAAATTACTCCAAAAAAATTTTTTTTTATCTTAATTTAAATTTTGATTAAAGGGTCAGAAATTTAGAAAATTTGTAAGGACTTTTTTTGTAGAAAATTAAATTTCCTATCAAAAAAAAGTCTTTTAAAATTTTTTTGTATCTAATATTTAATCCAGAATTTTAAATTTTAATTTTAAAAAATAATTTTTCTATTAAATTACTCCAAAAAAATTTTTTTTAAACCTTGATTTAAATTCTGATTAGTCAGAAATATAAAAAATTTATAAAGACTTTTTTTGTAGAAAATTAAATATTCTCACAAAAAAGGTTTCTTATAATTTTTTTATTTAAATTTTTATCCCACAATGTTAAATTCTTATTTTAACTACCAGTAAAAATTAAAACTACCGTAAAATATTTTTCAATAAAAAAAAAACTTTTTTGTAAAATCCAGTTCGCATTCTTGCTCATCGATGTCTAAAATAACAAGGTACAAAACTATTCATATATAAAAGGCTGAAGCTAAGTAAGGCTAAGGTTAAAAAAAAAATCTATTTCTTGTGTGCCCTTTCTTTATACTTTATACATAACATAAGTATATAACATAACACATAACATATATAAATATATAGGTGCCTCTACCTCGATAGGATACAGATACACTTTTCCCTTCCACCCCCTCTGCTTACAAGAAAAGACCCGAGAGAGTGACCAGGACCAGTTTAATCTCGTCCGGCAGCGAGAGAACTTACACGCTACTCATTTACTTAAAAATATTACAAACATCATCATTATCATAATCATCAATTGTATCCCGGTCTCAAAAATATATTAATGTAGCTGCATATAAATTTATCTACGCATCTACCTCTCTTTACTTATGTCCATCATTTAAATTACTCCTATCATTACAATTTAATCATCATCTTCATATCTTTGAATATACAATTTATATTATCAATTATCAATAATAATTACACGCAGAAATAATTTAAATACTGCGTCTATTTAAAAAGCCTTCTTTGTATTTTTATAATTTATAATTCATAATTATAGTTTATAATCGCAATTATTTTTATTTTTAAATATATTTAGACATTTATTTATCCCTTATTAATTATTAATAATTAATAATTTATAATTAAACAAGGAATCAGCTACTGAGTTTTTTTTTATTAATCACTGGACTGTGGACTTTTTTTTTCTCTTTAACGTTTGTGTGAGTTCCGTTAACAATATTTTAATTAGTATAGAATATACATATACTTAATATTCTTGGCTTATATTTGCTTGTACTCGAAGTTCAATAAGACTAGTTTATAATAATAATAATTTATAATATATATATATTCATATAATTTTTTAGTTTCTTTTATCTTAAAATGCTACATTGTCAAGAAGGCGTTGGTTATTTAAAACGTGCAGTAAATTTCATGCACAATGTCTCAAACTCACAAGCTTTCTCTTTTTTATTATTTAGTAGTTTTTTGTTTTGTCAAAGGCAAGCATATAAGTTGTGGTCAATAACGCGTTTAAGTCTCGATGTAAATACCAAAAAAACTATTAAAAAATATACACTAATAATAATAATAATAAAAATACTAACTAAAGACAATAAACTTTACGAGCATTTTTTTTTTGTAAAAAAAAAAAAAACTCATAATTCTTATTCATATTTTAACTTGTGGTAACTTTTGTTTCTCGAGTATTTAAAAGCGTTATCGCACAAATATTGTGAGAATAACAATTAAATATTAATAATCTTACATTCCCTCATTTTTATGAAATTTACTTCCAACGGAATATTTTTTCTACTCATAATAATAATCTTACCATAACTAAATCAATTGTAATAGTTTTCTAATAACAAAAATCAATATTTATATATTTAAATTCAAATATATATATATATAATATAAATAAATATAATTATACACTTCACGTGATCCTGTACAGACTTACAAAGACGGACGTTAATAATAACGTAATACTTGATTTAAATACATTAGAGAATCCCGTAACAGCGCCTGGTTCTTGGTTCTTCAGCAATTCAGGCCCACCATCATCGTTCTGCATACTGGGGTCGCTCTTTCTCGGTGGAATTATTGAGTTTTCATCATCTTCGCTCTTAATTGACATATCAGGAGTGGTCTCCAAGGACGTCTCGCTATTTTTGGTGATGCTAGTAACTGCGCTGCTGCTACTGCTGAAGGTGCTGGCCTTCAAAGTAGTAGTGGTTCCACGTGTCGTCGGAGGAGCCAAGGTCGTAGGCACGATACTAAAATTGCTTATGAAATATATCGGACTAAATACCGGAGTTATATCACGCATTGTTTCTTCTCTACGCATTCCAACGATATCTCGCGATCTCTGCTGGCCGTCCTCGTAATGTGAATTAAGTTCGCCAGTGTATGGTACTTCCATATCCATATAATTAGCCTTGAGTGTTACGTTAACTGCTGTTCCTGGTTCGAGATTGATCTCCACGCTGTAAACATAACATTTTATATATTACACACGTGACTCACCATCATCACTATTTATAAATGCTCGTTAAAATATTTATTTATTATTCATTACTCTAAATTACATGAGTGATTAATTAATCTATATCATTGAGAGAACTATTGATATTTTTTAAAATATAAGCTCATCACGATGTTACACTCATCAAGACTTTTAATTTGAGTACCCACATCAATTTTTCATATATTTATATATATTATATATATATGTATATTGTATATATGAAAAATATATGAAAATGCATGTGGGTACTCAAATGAAAGCTCTTGATGAGTGTAACATCGGGATGAGCTTATATCTTTAAAAATGTCAATAATTAAAAAAGTACAGTTGAATTTAAAATAATTAAGAAACTACCTAGTATCTTGTGAACTATTGACATTTTTAAAGATATAAACTCATCTTGATGTTACGTTCATCAAGACCTTTCATTTGAGTACCCACATCAATTTTTCATATATTATATATATATAGGTATATATGAAAAATATATCAAAAATGCATGTGGGTACTCAAATGGAAGCTCTTGATGAGTGTAACATCAGGATGAGCTTATATCTTTAAAAACGATAATATTTAAAAAATTACAGTGCAATTTAACAAAATTCATTATTTAATAAAGCAAAATTTTATTTGTTTATAGTTCACAGGTCATGGCAGTCACATAGTGACTGCAAGGTTGCTAGTTATATTTATTTTTTTAGATGGAATATATTTTGTGTGTAATACGTACGTGTACAAATCAGAGCGTTCGGATTTTTCTTCCATTCCCCAGGCAATGCTTGGAAGCCTGGAACCATTGACAAGCATGATAGAAGTATTGAGAGCCTTAATCATAGCGTGACCCTGTCCCCAGTAACTGGAGTAATTGTAGGTGTATCCAAACGCCTCTGCTAACTTGGCTGGCTCATCGCGTGAATTGATTATTGTTGCTTCGCCCAGTATCTTCGGTTCATTTTTAATAACATGCTTACGACGAAGATTCAGCTTGACGGACCTCAAGTCATAGTAAAGCGGCTCTGACTCGACAAGGACCTCGCCTTTTGATTTTGAACCCGTTTCGCCGTTCTGTTGATGGCAGAGATTGAAAAATAAATAGAGGAATAAAAATGAGAACAATGAATCATAAATATCGCATTATGCTCAGCGATGAATCACGCTGAGAATGAATGAATAAAAACATAAAATAAAATGAAAATATAATAATAAATTGGTAATATAACTGACGGCTTTAACGTAGGTGATTGTCCCGAGTTTATCCTTGTGATCAAGCGTTCCAATGTAGTGGGTGTAACTTGGCGAGACGCTATCATTCTTGGCCTCTTCTTCCTCCTCATCATCTTCGGCGGAAACAACGTGTCGAGCTACGAACATCGTGTCCGCAGCGACAGCACCCGTTGGAATTTTGTGGAACTTGTCCCAAGGGATCCAGCTTAGTCGCGCTGAATTCTCTACATTTTCAAGCAATTCATAACGCTCGTAAGAATGAAAATTGCCTAGTAATGTAACGGTGCACCGATTTTGTCCTTCAATCTGGCTCCCGGCTACCCATATGCCACCGTGATAGACACGGCACACAAACATTGCCCGTTCTTTGGTCATGGGATCTTGACCATTTGTCTCAACTGCAAAGCAAAATCATTACTTGTTAATTGTTAAGACTTTTTACGCTGCTAAGAATAACTGCTGGAGTTTAAGTGTAAAAAGTCGTTATGTACAGCGTAATAATATAAGTAAAAAGTATTATTCCACGCGGTAATTACATCGTTAAATATCGTGCTTTTTGTAATTTAAAGTAGAATTTATAATATCTACGTTGGAAAATTATGCAAAAAAAAAATCATTTTTATCTAAATAATTATTTTTTAGATAAAAATTTTCAAGTCAATAAAAAATTATGATAAAAATTAATATTTAATATTTAAAATTCTCTTGAGTAAAATTTTTTTTTCCACGCAATTAAAATAACTTAATTAATTAATTAATAAAATAACCGTGTAAATTATAAATACCGTTTGGTACACGTTGGAAACCACCAATAACAATCTCTTTTGATGGGTCATAATGATTTACCGGAAGCCAATTAAGCGTACTGGATGTTACGTATTGCTGTAGTTTAGAATATATGTGGACACTGTTGTCACCGTTCGAAAACGTGACGACAGACAGTATTAATAAGAGCACGACGCTCCGATTACAAGTGCTTGACATCATCTGAAACAAACAAAATAATAACATTATCATTTTATTAAATTAAAACTGATAAATTTAATTAAAACCAACTAAAATTATATATTAATTTTCATTTTATTTGTAGGCCTATTTGTAAGCCACAGTCACCGCAAGTAAATCTCGCAATCCCAGCAAATTATTAATTTTTAGTCAGCTAAGCTGTAACAAGACCTGAAAGTCGCTGCTGACTAGACAGCCATTCAAGACGATGACTATCAAGAGTATTTAGATTGTTCAGAGCTGACAATTTAAACTCAAGAACACCAAAAATGAAATTTTGAACCCACCGGAAACGGAAACGGAAGAAGATTTACTGATTTGAACGTAAACTATTCTCACAGTCACGGAACACGGTGCAGTGTAACGGTGCCGAGTTCCGCGGTACCATTAACGGCCGGCTACTTGTACTACCAATGATGATGATGATGATGATGATGATGATAATAATTATAATTGTATTAAATTCTTTGGTTATAGGTACTGCGAATGGAAGAATAGCTTTACTTATACGTATCAAGCAGCAAGCACTGCATTAGACACAATACTGGGTGGTGTAACTGGTTAGCTTTGTTGTGCTGAGAAACCTTGACCGAGTATTGGAGCCGTAGAGATACGAAGCGCACTTGGTATTGATATTGGTATCAGGAAAAGCTCTAAGAGGCTCTGCAATTGACGCAATCGTGTTTAATCGACCGATGACCCGTGACCACTCGGCACCAGGCACTAGTTACTCGGCGCCGTTCCACATCCTGGTTACGTACCTGATTCTCAGCAAAAAGGATCACCGTGTGTTGTGTATTACTATTCTATGATAGCCAGTGAGTAGTGCAGAGTATAGTCTGGAAAGCAAAGTATGCTTAACACACAACAAGAAATACGAGGAAAATAAATCCCCGGGATCGCCGCGGGCAATAAATCCACCGAGAAAAGATAATAATCAATGTCTTGAGTTTTTTTCTAAAAACTCTTGGGTATCTTTTTATAAATAAATTTAATTTAATATAATATAAAGGAAGAAATGAAGAAAGAGATGATAGACTAAAGTCACTCAAGAGTTTAAATTGAAAACAAACAGAGATTATTGCTTTTGATAATACATTTATGTATATTTTTATCTTCACGGTAATGATCATGCCGGTGGTATCGCACCTGCATTAACATGAATTACCATTATAGTCTAATGGGACATAAAAAATGATTAGCAATGCTAAGTCTGAGGGTAATCACCTCGACTGCGATGCATTGAAGCATTGACTGGAAAAATAACCAGGAGTTGAGCCAAATCGAACGAAATAAAAAATCTGCCTTGCGGAAATGAAACAAGTGCAATAAACGAACAAGTACGTCGACTGTGCCAAAAGGAATATCGATTCTCTGGTCCTATGACCATGCAGTTAACGTTGCCATGATAACAACTGCATACAGTTCATACATTATTATATTTAGCATATTATATCAAGTTAGAGTTTGGGTTGTTGTATTTAATATCGAGGCGCAATGTTTTTAAAACAGTGACGACAACTGTTGCTATTCATTGATGATTGGTACAGAGGCCGGTTTCCTCTTCCATTTGTCTACCCAATTCCCTCGACGTCTGTGTATGTCTGCTCTTCTACATTCTACATACGCCTGTCTGCTGCACAGTAAATACAATATATGTATATATTACTATATTAATATATGTAGTTTGTATCTCTGATTCTGTGGCTCGGACGTTTCAATCTCAGAGCCCCCATTGTTTCCAATCACCAATCAATTAACTTATGGGCTATTGCACCATCACTATTATAATTGGACAGATTATCTTACATTGAGATTCACATTATCATTCATCTATAACTGTAATGCTTTCTTCTTTCTCTCCCTCAATATTTTTTATTTATACATATAATATTATATATTATATATTATGTATTATGCATTATCTATATTATCTCTTCAGTTAATGCTAATCGTAAATTATTACCCGCAATTATAATAAACTTGTGAATAATACAGTTATACTCGCGAGACCCGATTGTGCAATTAAGATTTCATTATATTTTTAAATGTATAATAATTATTAAATATTTATTGAGGCATAAACAAACCTGATAAATATTATCTGATAATAATAATGCCTTTAACAAGAAATTCATTACCAACTTTCGATTTTTTTAGTCTTGATAAAAAAAAAAAATTTATCATTTTTTTTTAATTTTTCTTTTTAAATCATTTTTTTCTAATTATTATTTTTAATTTCATCATTATTTTTTTTTTCTTCTCTGCTTTAATTATTTTTAATATTAAATAGAATTTTATTTTTTTTTCTCACTAATTAATCTAACGACAAAAATACTTGACATAATAAGGACATCAAAGCGACTTTGAAATTTAATAATAATAATAATAATTAATTAATGGTATATTGCGTGATTTAGATGAGAATCGTCAGCAGGTTGCTGACGCTTGACCTATCTCTGTAATTGACATTGAGCTGTGATGAGTTAACGAGCACTTTTACACGGGTCATACAGAATTACTTTATACGCATTTTATAATAATAAAGTCTAGTCCAGGGGTCGACTGTGATGCATGCTCTATGTAGGCGTTACCTTACGCTCATGCTACTCTTTTATGGGTAGGAGACTCCATTAGATCTATAATAACAATAATTACAATGATAATAATTATAATTACGTTATAAGTGATCTATGAATACACTATTTTAGTGGTAGACTCGGTAAAGTTAACCAAGCCGAGGAAATTTATTTAAGTTTTTAAATTCTGTGTCAGACTCTCATTAGGCTCCATCGGGTTCAATCAATTTATCCTCGAGCGTGTGTCCTATTCTAGAAGCCTCTTCCCTCGTCATCTAATATACTTCCGTTTAATTTTCAGCTAATGTACTTTGCAGCAAAGTGAACTGATGTGTGCCGGGCTGTGTACATAGCGGTAATGTAATTTAATGTTCGATGCATACACAGCTCCCTGTGGAAAATAACGTTCAAGTTAAATCAACCAATACGACTTTGGAGTTGATAAACAAAATAAATTAAAATAAAATAAACTATTGGAACGATTGGAGGCCGCAAATGAATAGAACGTGACTTTAAGAATTCTTGATATCCGGTTAATCGAGCGGCATCCTAGCTATGTTTTACTATCGATCCTTCCGCAAACGTCGGTAGCTAGAGAGGGGAAATGGAACTCAACTCCCGAGGGGCTGGAAACTCAACCTCAACTTCCCCTCGGCACCTATCTACGTCCCTTGCACCTCAAGGTCAGGCCCTGGCAATCAAAACCCCCAGAATTTAAACCTCCTGCTGCTATGCTGTTATGCCAGTTTATGTAGCCTTTACCGTATGCTACACTTTTGTGGAAAAAAAACTATCACAGGTGCGCGCGCTCACGAACACGCTCAAGTACCTTTTTTTTATTTTTTTGTAGCCAACTAAATTCCCAAGCTACATTGCGCAACACTTGTTTTTCGCATCCATTTATCCTAGAAATGCCGGGAGAGAAATATATATATATATTATTATGCATTAAATATGATAGATAATTGGAATTTGAGATTCTGTGTCAGTCGTTCTACACCAATGAATATAAATACCGGAATTGTAAGATATTATTGAGTTAGGGCTCTCCGCTCTCTGACGAAACCCTGAGAGTGTATCATATACAATATTATTATTAATAATTATATATCGATATTGATATCTCCATATTCCATAAATATATATTAAAACACCAAGTATTGGTTTTTTCTTCTCAATAATCAGCAACAGAGATTTAATAAAATTCAAAGCCGGTTTGTTTCTTTTTCTTAAATTAAATTAATGATGAAGTCCTAAAAAAAAATAAATTTAATTGCCAAGAAGTGATGACGCTCTTCTTGAGTCACTAGTTCTTAAAAGGAATTTATTAACACCATAATAAATATATTTTTTCGCTTTCTTTCTACCCTTAATTCCATTCAATTGACTTAGTCACTGGTCTCTGAAATTCCCCAACCATAACTTTGCTTATTCCGTCATCGTAAATCTACAATACTATTATACATGTAGTTCCATATATTATATCCATACACACATGTATATATAATATAAAATATCTACAGTATAAGTATAATAGTTTAAGTTATAATCTTATAATAGCAAGAATAAAGATCCAGACTTAAATAATTCTTCTATTCTCACTTTTACTAGCTTCTTATCCTTATTATTGAATATAATAAACAAAAGAATAATAATAATTCAGCACTAAATATTCCATGTCACGTTCGTAGAGTCTAAATCCACAGCTTTTTTCATAATTCATAACCGTAATTTATTTTTCATGATTTTAAATCCTGCAACACACAATTGACATATTTTAATTTTTATTTTCAGATACTTACAAATAATTTTTAGTTGAATTATTTTTCACAAAAATAAACACCAGCGAGCGTTGATTTTTTGCATTAAAATCTCCAATTAAAACTTCTCACACATGCACCACGCCGGTAACAACTTTTCACAAACTCTTCAAGTACTCAGCAAAATTACCCTGTTTTTTTATTGGACAACAAACAAAAATAATTATGGCTGCTTCAATAATAATAATAATAATAATAATAATAATAATAATAACTGAAACTATAATTATATTACTACAATAAAAGAAAAGCTTGGATTGCTTTTAAATACAACAATTGGGAAACGTGCGCGCGAATAAGCCGAACGAACGCGACTGACGCGAGAAGAGTTTTCGGTGCGTACTCCTGCCGGTTCTATTCGTCGGTGACCGTTATCTTTCCCTTTCTTCAGTGGAACCAAGCTCAGCTCTACTCCCTACTCTGGACTAGCTAGAGTATCCACTCTCTTTCTTCGTCTTGATCATTGTCATCTAGGCGCCGGGTTTGATTTTCTCGCTCTGAGCTTGCTGAATGATCCTCTGTAAGCTGCGCTGAGAAATATGGAGGATATTTGTGAATGTATATTATGTGTAATAATACTCTGTACTGTTCTGCGTGTTCTCAATGACACAATCGAAGCAAGACGACCAACAGCGAGCCTAAACCCGGTGTTGTTTTCTTCTTGGTTTTTTTTTTTTTATCTGCGTACAAACATCAAGAGAGAAAGTGCAAATGCGTATTATATGCAAACTTGTAAGATATACGACATATGTATGTTATGTATATGATATTATATTGTATTATATGTACACACAGGAGGAATGGACGTAAAACTGGTAACTGGTGGTGTTGGATTGAACGCACCGATGCGCGCGTTTCGCTTGGCGCGAGCGCGCGAGGGGATGTTTTAAGAGGGGTCGAGTCTGCGCTTTTTCCCTTACATTATATTATTTATATGTGTGGAAGTATATCTGTAAATGTGTGCTCTATGTGTTGTCTATTCAATATCGACCCCTCTGGGCCCCCCATTCGATGACACATCCGCCAATGCGAATTTTTAAAAGCATTACGTCACATGCGTGTTATTGACGCCGGCTAACAGTCAACATTCTGCTTGGATTTTATTTTATTTATCTTCGCTTCTCGGTACAGAGAAGTCTCTTAATCAACTATTCTTGATAACTTGATTATGCCTTGCAAATAATTATATTTTATTAATATCACTTCCTACTTTCTAGATGGAAAAATATTCAAGATGGTAATTTGCTATTACTGTCTAAGTTATTTAAATTAAATGACAGCTGACATTTTTCCGGATTTTTTAAATAAATTATTAAAATGTTAAAAAAAAATTGTCCATTTAGAAAATTAAGAAATTATTAATTTTTAATTTTATTTAACAAAATAAATTTGTTTTGATAAATTATTTTTACAAAAATTGCAATTTTAACTTTTTAAAATTTTTACATGTCAATTTTTTTTCCATAATTTATTTGTTAAAATAATTCTAAAAATTGTTAAATGTCTGCTAAATTAATTTTCATAAAATAATTCTAAAGTTAGCCATTTTTAATTTTTTTATTTATTAAATTAGAGCTTAAAATATTTATTAAAAATTGCAATAATAAATTTTCAATAAGAAATATAATTTTTTTTTTTTATCAAATATTAATTATATTAATTTAATTTATAGTTATGGTAATTACAAAGTATAAAATTTAATATATTTATATTTATATTTATAACTATACTTTCATTGATAAATTTTTTAATATGTTGTAAGTATTTATTTATTTTTATTACTTCAGAAGAAATGAAAATAATAATTATAATCTTATCTAAATAACTTCTAAAAATGAATATAAATATATTGATGTATACATTAGGGTTTGTCAAAGAAATTATTTTTTTATGAACTACAAATTGTACTCCAAGGTTAAACAAACAATAATATTATTTTTCAAGTTATCCTAGCATGCAAATATAAAAATGAAAATAAAAACTAAAATATTTTTGTTTCAACTGACATTTAAAGTTTTACAGTTAAATATATATATAATATACTCAGAGGAGTTTTTGTCCATTGCGCTGAGTTTTACGATGGTTATAAAATTTGTTGATTTACTTAAATTAAATTGTTTTTACACTTAGGATACTAAAGTAAAACAAATTACACACTGCGGCAAAGATAATTCATTCAAAATTGATTTTGACAGTATTGTAAATCAATAAATTAATATATAGTGGTAAAGGAAAGTTATATAATCTAAAAATACATTTATGTCAATTATCCGTCCGAAACTTTGTAAACATAATCACTTCTAGAAAATATCATTAAATTGTCTGATTTTTTTATTAGATTATTTCTGATAAAAAAAGACTTAATTTAAAAAAAAAAATTTTGTTTGAATGAATTAAAATCAAGAAGAAAATTTTTAAAATAATTTTCTTGGTTAAAAAATTTTTTTCTTCAATTAAATTTTATTTTAATATAAAAAAATCATTGAAACTTTTTTAAAATTTATTTTTATTAAAAATAAAATAATTATTATTATTACTGTTCATTAAATATCTATGAGCGCAAAAGACTTAACATGTAAGAACATAAATACTAATACCATTCTGACAACAATTGTATTAAGCCGTATTGTTACGACTATTGAACACAAAAACATAGTAAAAGGTTTCCTCTTTATTTTCCGCAGGATTGGAAGCGCTGGAGAAGGCTCTATATTGTTGGGAGGACGCTCTCACGGCATTTAGTTGCACCCTTGGAAATAATGCGCTTGCATTGCCTTCAAAAGCCGACGCGGCTTTTACACACGATGTCCAGGAACTTCTCGATCTGGGATACCAAATGCAGAGCACCGCTGAGCTGCTGTTCATTGACCAGGTTCAACATCTCAATATTATTATCCCAAGCTCCTAATAATACAATCAAACAAAAATTACTGAGCAAACAAAGTAGAAAAGAAAAGTTTGCCATCGATTAAATAATTCATGATGCTGTCCCCGTTATTTGATGAGTCGTAATGGCATTTTGTCACTATAATTCCATTGGCACATTGTGTCAGGGACAAATCAATTCAATTGGGTTTCACTGTTTACATAAAATAAAACATGACACCATCCTTTTATTTAAATGTACTTACTTATGTGTGCAAATGTAAATATGTATTCATGTGTGTATATTTGTTTAGCACTCGGTACTCTTTTGCAACGAAGATGAAGGAAGTGAAGCGAGTAACCGGCGTGCGTCAACCGCACGTTCATATGGACGGGAAAAAGATAAAGCGGAAGCCGCATCGTCTCCAGAGTCCTTTGCGTCTGCTAAAGATGGGGTAAATTCATTTTATTTTAATTATTATTAATAATTGCAATCATTAAAAATAATTAAAATAATATTAAAATCAACAGACATCTCAAAATTTTTTTGTTTTTAATTTTTGTCTTTAATCTTTTCAATAATTTTTTATTACAAATTAATTTATTAAAAATTTGCATTTATAATTCTTTTAAATTTTTAGATGTAAGATTTTTTAATTAAAATTTTTTATAATAATTTTACTATAAAAATTCAAAAAATTGACAGATCAATAGACTGTCTATTAATTTCACTATTATATGATTACATAAAAAAATTGAAATAAAGAGTAAAATACTCCGTGAATAATTAAATTAAAATTTATTCCTCTAAATCTCGGAAAGGACTGATTGTAATTTCTATTTTCAGGTAGCGGACCTCAGAGAATTCGAGGAGTTCTTCGAATTTTTCCCACACTTGGAGCAACAAAAATTGTATCACGCCGCGTTGAAGGAGCACGAGGACAAAGGCATTCAGTGCAGGTAAACATATATATCTTCTATGTAAGTGGGTCACATCTGAGTGTCCTTCAATCTCATCACTGATTTTTTATCCTTCATTACAATGTACAATACTCGGAGATATAGTACACTGTAATATGCATAATATATATATATAATATATAATAATACTAAACAGGCGGCTTCACACGGAGTTAGTCAAGTGCGGCTCGGATGTCGAGTATGTGGCTAAGGTTCACTGTTTACGTCAGGCATACTCCAGACTCTTTACTTTGCCTGGAGCCGCGACCTGGATTGCAGACATTGGCCGTCAGGTCATCAGCGACTTGATTGTCTACGCCGATAGGGTTTGTATTGTTAAATATTTTTATTCTGCTATAACTCTTTTTAATTTAGTCTGAAAATAAATAAATGTTGAAGGATATAACAGAAATAAAATACTAGTCATAAAAATATAAAATGTTTAACATAAATAAATATTTATTTCAGGATCCTGAAGAGTATTTGGTACACTATGAGAATATGCTTGAATTTTTGGGTGACCCAAGCAATCACAAAATCATGCATGAAGAATTAAGTGCTCGAGGTGTCAAATGTATCAATTTTTACGATATTGTAATTGACTTTATTCTTTTGGACTCTTTTGATGAAGTCGACAAACCACCGTCTTCTATCAAGGCCATTTTGCAAAACCGATGGATTTCTGCAAGCTTCAGAAAAACCGTAAGTGAATATGTCTATTGAATTTTTTGAATCTCGGAAAAAATTAACTCCTGTTAAAAGCGGAACTCAAAATTCCAATTTTAAGATGACACTAAAATTAGCAGACGTCTAAAAATTTTTTATTATTTTTTATTAATTAAATAATAATTATAATTTTTCAAGTTTTTTACATGTGAAATTTTTTTAATAAAAAATTTTGAAATGTCGGCTAACTTTATTTTCATATTTTAAAAGGTCAATCATGGAAGTTTAATTTTGGCACACCCTAGTAGTTATATGGATTTAAATTTCTAATTTTTCAATAAAAATTAATTTACAGGCGGTGGGTACTGCAGTGTGGTCAATTTTGGCCAGTAAGCGCCAGATGTTGAAATACAACAAAGGATTCCTAACACATTTCTATTTTATATCGGAGCAAGTGTCTCCCGTGCTGGTTTGGGGCTTCTTAGGGCCAGAAGGTTCTCTACGCTCAACATGTCAGTACTTCAGAGACCAAATTGTCGAGTTTCTCGTGGATATTTTTAATTTTTTCAAAGTACGCTACACAAATATTGACGAACTGGCCGAAGATATATGGCGGGAGATGCGAATACGAGTGGAGAATATTAATCAAAGACTAGCACTTGAAGGTTGTTGATCAATGAATATTATTATTTTGAAGATTTATAAATAGTCTATCTATGAGGAATCTCACAAGTAGGATTTGTAATTTAATATTAATAACGCAGTACTGCCATTTGGTATCCGTATTTTACGAGAGATTTATAGGATAGTATATTATTAATTTATATTTAATTGCGCAGCTGTAAATGTTTCAATAATTTTTATTTATTTGACACTCACTTCACGACTTTTATTAAGCACAAGATTTTATGTGCTCGATAATTTAAGCATTTATCTTCGGTATTATACACAAATGTTTACAAATTTGTATATATCCATGTACAGTTTAGAAAACTATTTTTCGTTTTTATAAATATATATCACAAGGTGTATATAACAATTACCTAATTACTGTATTATTTTTAGCCAATAAATTATATTTTTTTTTTATTAATTTAATTCATTTTCAATAAGGATAATTCCAACAACACGCTTTAAAGTTCTACAGATTTATTTTAAACATTAAATTCATTATTTTTTTTACTCTAAACGGTCTAATAATTATATATAAAACACTTGTATTTTTTTTTAAGACAATATTACAATAACAGACTTGAATTATCCTGATTGATTATTAATACTTAGTTAATTATAAATTTGATATTAATTTATCAACAAAATTTTGTAATAATTGAGCTACTGAAAGACAAAAAGTGAGTTAATACATTTTGTATTAAATATTTATTTCAATTAAAGCCTAAAAATTTTACTCAACGCTCGAGTATTAACTAGTGAATATAAAATTATTATTAAAAAAATATTTCAACTTATTTCAATATATATTAGTTCACTTTATTTCTTAACTCAATTAATCACTAAGAACAGCATCTCTCTCATCATCTGATTCATCGTTGCTATCATCTGCCGGTAGAATATTTACGATATTATTCCGACGCTTGTATTCTTCAATACTGTCCCACTCTATAAAAAAAAATAGAATTAATTATCAAATTATTCTCTAATGATACTAATAATAATAATAACTAGCAACATTGCAGTCACTATGTGACTACAGTGACTTATCAATTATAAATAAATAAAATTTTGCTGTATTAAATAATGAATTTTGTTAGATTGCACTGTATTTTTTAAATTATTGACATTTTTAAAGATATAAGCTCATCTCGATGTTACACTCATCAATAGCTTTCACTTGAGTACCCACATGCATTTTCATATATTTTTCATATATACATATATATGTAATATATATAAATATATGAAAAATTGATGTGGATACTCAAATGAAAGGTCTTGATGAATGTATTATCGGGATGAGCTTATATGTTTAAAAATGTCAATAATTAAGAAATTGCACTGTACTTTCTTAACTATTGACATTTTTAAAGATATAAGCTCATCCCAATGTTACACTCATCAAGAGCTTTCATTTGAATACCCACATGCATTTTTATATATTTTTCATATATACATATATATATATATATATAAATATATAAAATATATGAAAAATTGATGTAGGTACTCAAACGAAAGGTCTTGATGAGTGTAACATCGTGATGAGCTTATATCTTTAAAAATGTTAATAGTTCACGAGATACATGGTAATTTATTATATGAGATTATAATAATAATAATCTAAGTAGTAAATATTTATAACTGGATAAATAACTCACCAGGAAGATTAACTCTTCTTAAAGTCCATTTAGTTTCTTCGTATTTCTCTTTATCAATAGTAATCTGTGGATTTTTAAATTTACTCACTTCTAATCTAGGCCACTTGAGAACTAAAAAAAAAAAAAATAAAGCAATTGATTAAATAAAAATAAAAATAATAAATCTATTGAATAAAAAATAAAAAAAGCATACATTTAAAAGCTTTCGTGAATTTTATCCGAAGTTCTCTTCCAAGATTAAGAACAATTGATTTTTCAGGAATTATCGCCCCAAATAAATACAAACATAAATAATAATTATTGTCGTTGTGAATGGTACTGAAATAATAAAATTTTACAATTAATATTTACAAAATAACAAAAAACTTGTTGATTTATTTGAATGTAAACTTACCTGAACTTGAGACGTTCTAAATCAATGTCCAAGAAAAATTTATCAACATCAATTAACATGATTCTTAAAACAACAAAACCATCGTCTTGGTACCACAAAATTGAAGGAGTTAACGCTCTACTTTTTAGCGGCCAAGGATCCATAATTAATTAATTATATTTACAATTTTAATAAAAAATAAGTAGACTACAATGAGGTGCCGGTAAGTTTGACTCACCATTCGTAAATAAAGTGTGTAACCGGAGAAAAACAACGTGCTCGAGGTTGAAGGTTAGTTTTCATGAAAATTATCAGATAGATCTCTGATTCGCAAATTGTAAACAGTACTTAAGTGTGTTATCTAGGCGTATGCATTGATATGGTTAGTTTGTGAGTAATAATATTGTTAAATAAGGATTGGAGTGTGAAAATCCAAAGGAAATAGTTAAATTATTAAAAATGTCTCGTATAGAAGACAAGAAAGACACAATGGGAACGGGATTTCGCAAAATAGATATCGACGAATTCAACGAAAATAATTTTAAAGAAGAAGAGGCTGATGCTAGTTTGACAGGAACAACTGGTCCTGATGAAAACGAAATATCTAATTTACTTAGCCAATATCCTTTTTAATAACTAATTATTTATTTTTTTATTTTTAATTATTTTAATTTAGCTTTAAGAAATTTTAGATTGTTTTTTCCTTAATTAATGTTCAAAGGAAAACATGCTGAAGCTTTGATATCAGCGTTAAAAGCCGCACCACTAGAGTCTAAAAATCAACAAGTTAAGGTAAATTATTGCAATTATTAAAACAAAAAACATCAGATAATTTTTTAGCTTAAAATTAACAATTCAGTTTATAAAATAATGATAATGAAGTTAGCAGTCAGCTGTCAATTTTAAAAATTTCTATAACAAGTCAATTACAATAAAAAGAATGCTTTTAAAAATTTTCACTAATAATTTTAATCAATTTTCATATAATTACATTTTTTTTATAATAATTTAATTGCAATAAAATTCTAAAAAAATTTTTACTGTCTTTCAACTTCAATGTCTTGAAATTTATTTTAATTAATAAATTATACCAAAAAATGTATTTTAAAAATTCCATCTTTAGAAGCTGTATAAAATTTTTTAAAAATAATTTTCTAGACCTGGTTTATTTTTAAAGAAAATAAAAAAATTGTCAAATGTCTGTCAACTTTAATTCCACATAAAAAAATTGATAAAAATTAAGTTAGCCGACATCTAAAAATTTTTATATTTTTTTTATTAAAAAAAATATTACAAAAAAAAATTTCATTTGTAAAAAACTTGAAAAACTGTAAGCGCAATTTTTAAAAAATATTTATTATGTATTATTTTGTTCTAATTTAATTATTGAAAAAAAAAATCAACCAATTAAAAACGTCGGCTAACTTTAGTATTATAAAAAATTGAATTAAAAATTTATATAGTTCAAGTAATTTCTAAAAATTAATGAATAATATTTTATTTTACAGGATAACGCAAGAAATGTAACACAAAAAATATTATTAAGTATAAAATCAAATCAAATGGACGACGTTATTGCTCAATTGGATAGAGAACTTATGGATGTTTTGATGAAATACATTTATCGTGGTTTTGAAATACCATCTAAAGACAGCAGTTCACATTTATTATTGTGGCATGAAAAAGTTTACAGTATCAGTGGTATTGGAAGTATTGTTAGAGTGTTTACTGACAGCAAAAGAGTTTAATATTTAAAATAAAGACAAATTAAAAAATAGGATTGTTTATGGTTGTCAATAAAAAAAATAATCTTTGATAGAATATTATGTAAAAAAAAAAAAAACAAATCCTTAATTTTTTTTATGTTAACATTTTTAATCAACGTTTCATTTTGTTTATTTTATATTAAATAATTAATTAATTATTATTTTATACATATATTTTTTAAAATAACGATTACATAAGAAATAACACGATGATGCAGTAAGGAAAAGTACAAATTAATATTTTTTATTTTATGTTACCCTGAACATTGTTATATATTTATTATATATATATATATATATTAGTAGTCGGATTGACCATTTCTCCACGTTTTGATCCACAGATCACATATACTTTATTTTTATTTGGGCAATGATAATTATTATTCTTTATTTATTATAATTATTAATTATTAATAGATTATTACTAATTTCTGTAACAGCCCGGAAGATTTATTGTTTTATTCGCATTTATTTTTTACAGTAACCATTATCATATTTGTTTGTCGAATCAGAAATAACGCACTTATAAAAACGGCTTTTGCTCTGAAAAATTTTTAAAATAAAATAAATAATTATGCATATTTATTTAATGTTTTATATTTTTAAAGATAAAGATAATTACTAAGTAATAATTAATTATTGAAGCTCAAATTTTTTATTTTTATTTGAATTTTCAAACTTTTTGATAATAAATTATAATTAATTTTACTGCAAAATTAATTTAACCTGTTACTTTTATTAATAAATTAAAAACAAATTACTTTTAATATTTATAAGTAAAAAAATTTATTTATTTATTTATTAATATAAATAAATAAAAATTGACTTACAAAATGAAAGAAATAATTTATTATCAAAGGTTAAAATATCACCAGAGATCCTTATCTTTAAAACATTCAATAGTTTATAAAATAAATAACTAAATAAAAAACTTACTGTCCTTCCTTGAAGTATTCTTTTAACGTATTACTAAAACGTTTACTGTATTTAACAAATTCTCTTTTGCGTTGATCTAAAGCCTGTTTACCAGCAGTTCCAGGAATGAATGCCGTTACTTCATTCACAGCGTCTAATAACTTTTTGATTGCACTCGCTATTTCTCTGTAAATAAAAAACAAATAAATAAATCAAGACATTTCTCTCAGAAAAAGCTATTAAATAAATAAATATTTAATTTATCTTACTTGATGGTTTCTAAAAATGTTTTCCGATCAGTTATTTCATCTGGAATCCTGCTTAATATTCTTTTTAATGCTGTAGATTTACGATTTAATTCCTGGAATGCATCTTCTGATCTCGCTGAGCGATATTCTATGGCTAAAAAATTATTGTGATTAATGTAATTAATTAAATTGTTTAATGCTCCAAAAAATTAATTTTTTGGAGATTTCATCCTTCAAAAATAAAATTAAAAAATATTTACCATCACAATCGGAAGCTACACCTTGTAAACGAAGTACACTAGCATTCATATCAAGGCTTAAATCAGCTCTCCTAACAATACCTACTACCAAATCATACGTAATACCTGGATGATTACTTTCAGCTTTAGATAACGCTGATCTTAATGTTTGAGCTGCTGTGATATTTTGAGCTTCCAACTAAATAAAAAAAATTAAATTAAATTAAATGGAATAATAAATCAATTAATATAATATAATAGTGTATTAGAGTATTAAAAAATTTATTACTCAGAAAGGAAGTCTTGCAAATGCCATTACCTTGGATAATATTGGACGTAGTATCACAGGGAGGACAAGTGATGTAACTGGAGTATCATCTCCCATTGTCATCCTTTATGTATTATAAAAATTATTTATACTGATCTGAATGTGTTTTTATTACACTTAACTGATGATGTATGTACAATCTATTTGATTTTATAGATAACCATCAGCAGCAGCAGCAGCAGCACTTTGATAAAAAAAAGGTTGATAGTGGTGTTTATTTAAATCGACAGTGTTTGGTGGACTCAGAGCCACAACATGAGGTCGATAAAAGGCTAGTTATCACTTCATTTCACCTTATTAATACTACCTCACTGCTTGACAGCTGTCATTAAATAGTTAATCTATAACAAAAGAAGGTTAGGCTTCGTGTAGTATTTAACTATACCTACGTACTTACATAGATACAATACATTCAAACACAAGTACTTACCTATAAATATATGCTCATATGAAGAATTTTAAAAGGGAATTTTCATTAACTACTTGTCGTTTGACGTCATCAGGCTTGCTTTTCTATTTTGTTTCCCTCCAATTGTTTACAATTTTGGTCTCTTATTCTTAATGTTGATCATGATCATTGTTAAGCTGGAAAAAAAATTAATTATTGATAAAAACAAAATAATCTAATAATTTTAGCTTTGTCAATTATTATTGAAAATTTAATTTTTATTTCTTAAGGTGTTGGTAAAGTCGAAAACTGTGAAAATTTCGTATTTGCTTATGGTAACTTCCATTATTCAAATTATTATTATTTAATATTTGTTTATATATTATATATATGGACTCCATAGCTTCATAAATAAAAATCAAGTTAGCAGTCATTTGGACATGTTTTAATTTTTTTTTATCAAAAAAATTTGCTTCAAAAAGTTATTTTTAATTTTATTGTTGACGGCAAGTAACCGTTTGGGCTATTTTGAATCTCAAAACGAAAAATTTTTATTCTTTCTGAAAAATTACAATTTTTTTTCTAATTAGCAATTGTTACTAAAAAGTATATTTTATGTTTTGATCTTAAAAATTAATATTTTTTCTTGAACACGCAAAACTATATAGCTGATATACATAATTTATCAATTCTAATAATATTATTAATATATATTATTTTTACAATAATTATGTTATTAATAATTATCAATACCATGATGAATATGGGACTCGCTCCATTATTGAAACTGGCCTAGTTGTTTGACACTTGCAATTTTATTCTAAATTAAAAAAATTAAATAATCTCAAAAAACCAATTATCTTAAAATTATATTTATTGATTTATTAAAGTTGATTTTTTTTTATTAAAATAAAATTGCAAGTGTAAAAAAACTCCTAGTATAAAAAAACTCTTTTTGGCATATCGACGGTACTTTGGTAAAACCTCGAATCTCTCATTTAAAATACATAGTAAATACGAGGTTAAAATTTTACCTAAGTACCGTCTATATACTTTTTTCCTGATGAGAGTGATGAGGCTATTTTTGGGCTACCCCAACTAAACGCTCCTCGTCAACAGTATATTCATTAACATTTTTCTAGCAGCACTGTTAACCACGTGGGTTGATCTTAGTTAAAATCCAGCCGCATAAAACTCAATTCAATTTTTCATCTTCATCACCCGGAAGGAATAATTGGAAATTATATCAGTGAGTCAATTTTTGTTTTATTATTACATCTGTTAATTAATATTCAGGTAATTATTTAATAGAAAAACTCCACACTTCTACTTATCGAAAATTAGACAAACTATATATATATAATGTGCGGCTTATCTCATCTTAAGTATTTGAAATTTTGATTCCAAAATTTTTTTTTTAATTTATATTCATCTCCTACACATTTTCCAGCTAAAAAATAATAGTGGTTTTATTGAAAAATATAGTTCCAAGATCAAAATTTACTCTTTATTTTTTCATTGGAGTTTTACTTACTTTATAACTATACTTAGAAATAATACTGTGTATCAATAGTGTATTTAAAATTTTATTTTAATATTTCAGATTGTGCGGTCCAACCCAGTAATATTTATCAACTATTATTTCATCAAGCCGAGCGAATTCTTTGACTATATCTGGATCCAATCCAGTTGGTAAATTTCATACCCAACGGAGGGAAAATTTTTTAAACTATTTTAATTTTTTTTTTCGTTTCAATTGCACTAAATGAATTTTAAGTAGGTAATTAATATCTTTTAAATTATCTTCATAATCGTATGCAAAATATCTTGGTGTTGTGAACTAACAAAAGAGCATAATAACAAAAATAGGTTCCGAAATGAGTAAAAAAAAACAGTTAGATCTTAAATCACTTTTTGATGTTTTTGATAATGAGTCGTGCAATATAGTGGATACTGAATTAAATCCAACAACAAAGGCTAGCAACTCAACTATGTATGAAGCCATCGAAGATAACAATTTGGAAAGAGTTAAAACACTATTAGGAAATGGAATGGATGTAAATGAACCGATTATAACAACTGGAGAATTTGCTGGATTCACGGCATTGCATGTCGCGTGCATGAAAAATAAAAATCACTTGGTGAAGTTACTACTTAATGATTATAAAGCAAATGTTGATGCTACGGCTGCTGATGGAACTCGACCCATACATTTGGCATGTTTTTATGAATATCATCCCAAGTTATCAGTAGGTATGAAATTTTTTTTTCCAGTAGGCTGGAATATACGTTCATTGGTGAATGCTAATGCAAATGCTGATGCTGAATTTGGACAAGAAATTTTTTCAAAGCACCTCAAAGACAGTAAATGGTGCCCCGATTTCGGTGATAAAATGACACCGCTTATTTTTGCTGTTCTTTATCTAAAACCATTATTTATGCCTTTGCTCGGAAAAGTGAACGCAAACTTTATGAGCTTTAATAATAAAACATTACTGATGTATGCTCTTCAGAACCCATTTAGGGAATTCTTCGTTGAAGATATTTTAAAAAATCTTAAGGATCCTGAATTAATAAACCATCGCGATAATGATGGTATACCAGCAATTCATTATCTAGTCCATCCCAGAATGTATGGAAATTGTCGATATTATGATCCTGAAAGGTTAAATACATGCCGCAGTCAAGCAATGAATTTAATTAGATACTTGACTCTTGGTGGGGCTGACATTTATGCACTGATAAATAATGACCCAGCAACATTTTTACCTAATCTATTTGCTTACAGAAGCTACCCAGAACTACTACGGGTGTTTTTACCTCATTATACTGATATATCCTTATCTAGGGTTTTATATTACGCCACGCTTCCCATTGATGAAGATTCTGATAATTTATTCCGTAACGGTCCTACAAGACCCGATGATCGAAATAGTTTCATCGAAACAATAAAAGAAAGACGCGAAGAGACTATAAAGGTAGTTATAAACGATCTGGTCTTTAGACGTGAATTTAACTTACCCGTTCCAGAAGAAGAAATAAAATTAATGGATAAATTAATTGCCACTAACGTATATATCAGAATGATTGTAAATAACCATAAAATACTTTTCATTGAAGACCTCAAAAATCTGTTAACCGAATTCAGGGGTAAGAAAATATCAATGTATAATTTTATGATCCAAATTTATGACGATGAAAAATTTATGACATTGGCGCGAGACAAGTCTTTACGGAGAGCTTGGGCTGGTTTTAAAGCTGGTGGTATTCGCCATCTAGAACCTTATATCCTTTATCAGTCAATTAAAATAAAGATAGGTAGAGCTACCATGAGGTTAAATCTACTTAACAAATTAGAAAAAATTTCGTCACTTAGAGAAGCTATACCATTACCGTATGAATTAATATTAGATATTGTTCAGTATCTAAACAACAAAGAATTGAACGAATTCATTGGTGCTTTTTATAATCCATACACAGCAAAAAAATTGTACAAAAATTACTCTTACAACTATCCTGATGCTGGAGTATTCTTGTACAAGGGATAATTTTCATATATTTCTGATGAAAATTTACTGTTTAGAAAAGATTTATTACAATTTATGATAGTATTTTTACTAAAAATTATTGTATTAAATTTAATTACAAAAAATCGATCTCACCATCGTGAATAATAAAAGAATAAAAAATGAAGTATAGAAATGTGATAATTCTTGTATCCACTCTTATAATTTAGAAGATGAAAAATGAAAAATATAGATAATTTCATACCGGCGTTCATACGCGCGCTTGCGCGCGCAACGTATACTAGTGGATACTATACATTCCATATGTACGGAGTATAGTCTCCATGGCATGGCATTTAAACCCATTTAAACGTGAGCAAACGTAAGCAAACGTTTATCAGGTTCATAACCTTAGAAGTTGTGTAGTGATAATTTATTATTAGTGTTATTATTAATATAAATAAATAAACATGAATCAAAAAATTTCATTTGACGGGAATGTTTATGAGTTTGTAAGTATATTTTCTACATTACTATCCATAAATAATTTTTATAAACTACAATCAACTTAACAAACAGTTATTTTCTCAATTATGATATTAAATTTCAAAAATCAACATTCGGTTTGAGATTGTTTTTATCTATCATTAAAAAATCATGAAACTAAAATCAGCAATCATCTAATAATGTTTTTTTTTTTGTATATTTATTGTAAAAAAAAAATATTTTTTTTTAATTTTCAATTGTAATTTTTCAAAATTTCTAGTTGTGGAATTTTTTAATTAAAATTTTTTCATAATAATTAAGTTATTATAAAAATAGAAAAAATTAACAGTCAATTGTCAACATTGAAAAAGTCTCATTTTCATTTTTAATTAATTTCATTTATTTTATATGATTAAAAATATTAAAATTAAAAATTACAGTTAAGCAAGTTTAAATTTATTATTACATTTTTTTATTAAAATTGAATTTATAGAGCATAGTTACTAATTAAATTTTTTTATTTCAGCATGACGATGATCTTCCATACGAAGAAGAAATTCTCCGCAATCAACACTCGGTGAGACACTGGTTGCGGTACCTGGACCACCTGAAGTCCACCAAAAGCACAAACTTAAGCATTGTATATGAGCGTTCTTTAAAAGAGCTCCCCGGAAGTTACAAACTATGGTATGGATACTTGAGCCACCGGGTGAGTCAGTTAAAAAATCGTCGACTAGATGATCCGTTGTACGAAGACGTGAACAACGCCTTTGAACGGGCGTTGATTTTCATGCATAAAATGCCCCGTATTTGGATCGACTACTGCACATTGATGACCGAGCAGTGCTTTGTCACGAGAACTAGACACATATTCGACCGGGCTTTGCGAGCTCTCCCGATCACCCAACACCACCGTATCTGGCCTTTATATTTAGACTTCGTCAAGAGCCATGACATCCCTGAGACCGGCATCAGAGTCTTCAGGAGGTACCTCAAGCTCGCTCCAGAAGACACAGAAGATTATATTGAATATTTAATTTCAATCGGCCGCTTAGATGAAGCTGCTATCAAGCTTGCCCACATCGTCAACCAAGATGACTTCATCTCCAAGCACGGAAAGTCGAACCACCAGCTCTGGAACGAGCTTTGCGATTTGATCTCCAAAAATCCGGACAAAATCAAGTCGCTCAAGGTCGACCCGATCATCAGAGGTGGTCTCAGGCGGTACACTGACCAAGTAGGCTCTCTCTGGAACTCCCTAGCCGATTACTACATCCGCAGCGGCTTGTTTTTGAAAGAGCCAGAGACATTTACGAGGAAGCGATTCAAACTGTTTCAACAGTCAGAGACTTCACCCAGGTTTTCGACGCTTACTCGCAGTTCGAAGAAATATCGACGAAAAAACGCATGGAAGAAGTCAGCAAAAACCCCAACAGGACTGAAGACGACGAAGTGGAGCTAGATCTACGGCTCGAGAGATTCGAGTACCTCATGGAGCGAAGACCTTTGCTTCTCAACTCAGTTCTGCTGAGACAGAACCCTCACAATGTTCCTGAGTGGCACAAGCGCGTAAAACTCTACGAAGGGCAGCCTCATGAAATAATAAACACTTTTACAGAAGCAGTCCAGACAGTGAAGCCTCAATTAGCTGTTGGAAAATTTCGCACCCTCTGGGTGGTCTTTACAAAGTTCTATGAAGAAAACGGACAGTTGTCTGATGCGAGAGTGGTCTTTGAACAGGCCACTCATGTTCCGTATACCAAAGTTGATGATCTAGCTTCTGTGTGGTGCGAGTGGGCGGAGATGGAGCTTCGTCACTTCACTGGCAATCGCCCGGAGGAAGCTATGAAATTGATGCATCGCGCCACTGCGATGCCGTCCAGGAAAGTCGGGTACTACGACGAGACAGAGACGGTTCAGATGAGGTTGTACAAGTCCTTGAAGGTTTGGTCGATGTACGCTGACCTGGAAGAGACTTTTGGGACTGTTAAAACCTGCAAGGCTGTATATGATAATATAATTGATCTGAAAATAGCTACGCCTCAGATTATCATCAACTATGGGATGTATTTGGAGGATCAGAAGTACTTTGAAGAGGCTTTCAGAGCTTATGAGAAAGGAATTGCGATGTTCAAGTGGCCGAATGTCTTCGATATCTGGAACACTTATTTGGTTAAATTTTTGAACAGGTATAAGGGATCAAAATTAGAACGGACACGTGATTTGTTTGAACAATGTTTAGAACATTGTCCGCCAAAATATGCGAAAGTGTTTTATTTATTGTACGCGAAGCTCGAAGAAGAATATGGACTTGCTAGACACGCGATGAATGTTTATGATCGCGCTATCAAAGCTGTGCCTACTGAAGAGAAGTTCGAGTTGTTTAATATTTATATTAAGAAAGTCGCTGAGATTTACGGCATGCCCAAGACCAGGGAAATTTATACCCAAGCTATTGAGGTCCTTCCTGAAGACGTCCCGAGAAATGTCGCTGAGGTTCGCGGAGATGGAGACCAAGCTTGGTGAAGTTGATCGAGCTAGGACTATTTATATTCATTGCAGTGAAATTTGTGACCCGCGAGTTACTTCGAGGTTCTGGCAGATTTGGAAGGAGTTCGAAGTCCGTCATGGAAACGAGGAAACGATGCGTGAGATGCTGAGGATCAAGAGGAGTGTACAGGCGATGTATAACACTCAGATTAACATGATGACCGCGCAGATGCTAAACAGTACCACTCCGACGGAAAATACTGTTGATGCGATGAGACTGCTGGATATGAAGGCTGCTGATTCTGAAGAAGCTCCGCAAGGAAATGCACCAGCTCCTCCAAGAGGCACGATAAACTTCGTCAGAAGTGTCACCGAGGGAGGAAAGGATGATGGAAAGGTGAAAAATCCGGATGAGATTGAATTGGATCTTGACAGCGAAGAAGAGACAGAGGAGATTGAAGAGGAAGAAGTTCCCGTGGAAAAACAGGCGATTCCTTCGGAAGTTTTTGGAGGGTTGAAGCCTGTTGAAGAAATGGAGCAAGATTAATTGTATTCTTATTTTTAAGAATGTTATAGACAATAAATTTTTTTTTTATTTAAGTATTGTATTGTATATATTGTTGTACTTGATTTCATGTTTGACAGTGATAAAAATAATTATGTTATTGTTATAATTATTGTTAAATGGCATAGCGAGGTGGATTTATAAAATGAACGTCGTTGTAAACTTCAGACACTTCGCCTTCGATTTGTCCTTGCTTGGTAGGAAATTTTCGCGTCCCACCAAAAAATATTAACTCGGCGTTACCTAGCACTAGAGAATAAAGCACACGTTCCTCGGGACCAGTGAGATCTTTGCCACTATTCTGAATCCACGAGGCGGAATGATCTTCACGTAAAACATTAGCAATATTTAAAACAAAAATAGCCAGCCTGTTGATGTTAGTTTTTATTAACCTGGCCTCCATGCGCTGGCGATTAATTCTTTCCTCCATTCTTCTCAGGTCTTCGTGTATGCAAGGAGTATCGTGTGCAGTTACACGGAGTCACAAAAGTGTATTATTAGAGTTTTCGAGAAGTTTTCGACGAGTTTTTTCGGAGTCGCTATGGAGTTTATCTCGCGTTTTTGTTGGATATTTTCGGAGTTGCAGTGGAGTTTTTTTTTGGCGTTTTCGTCGAGTTTTTGCGGAGCTTTATAAGAGTTTCGTTGGTGTTTTTTCGGAGTTTTGGTAGTGTTTTTATGGAGTTTACTCGCGATTAATAATACTTCATGGGATGAAAATTAAATTTGATTTCACAAAGATGACTATAAATAAATCATTTTTCAATTACGGTGTAGTTTTTATTAATTTATTTATTTATTTACAAGTTTAAATATATTCATCTACATAGAATATGTTATTCAATAAATATATTATGAAGTTTATAAGTAAAATATACGATACATAAAAAAAGTGACATCATAAAAAAATTGTCAAAAGTTTACAGTTGATCCACTGAAACAATATTATCATAACTTAAATTAAAATTTTATCAATACATAAAGTGATTCAAAACTTTAATCGGTTTCCGTAAGATAGACAGTGTTGTTTATTACTGCGGGTCTTATTAGGTGACTGAATAGTAGGTACGGACGATGTCTCAGGTAGCTTGACCGGTTGAGTCTTTGATTTGTATGAAATACGGTCCGGGTTCGAGTCCCGGTCTGTCCGAATTATTTTTTTCGGTTTTTCATTCATTATCCATCAGAAAACTCCGATGAAACTCGCAAAATACTCTTGGAAAGCTCCAAAAAAACTCGGTGAAGACGCCGACTAAACTCGACAGAAAATCCGAAAAAACACTGATAAAACTCGGGGAAAACTTCATGAGAACACCAGCAAAATTCCAACCAAACCCCGTAAAGATCTCAATTAAACACCAATTAACCCCTATCGTCTTCATGTGTCACAACTGCACACAATACTCCGAGTTTACTCCCCATATACGCCGACTATACTCCGTCGTTACGCTGAGTTTCGGACGAGTTTCTACAGAGTTCTATCGGTGGCACCGAAACCGCTAGGGCTCCTCTATTATGTGGAATCCTTTCCAAAGCCAGTCTATCTTCTTTTTTCTTCCTCCACCTTTTTTGAACACCATTACTTGGGATTTCTCTTCATTAAGGATTAATTTCTTCTTTATCAAATACCTCTCCAGTCTCTTCATTAACTCTTTCAATTCTCCCTCAGATGTTGCCAATATTGCTATATCGTCTGCGTATGCTAAGCTCCAAAATTTTTCTTTGACGACGACAACTCCACCTGTTTGGCCTTTTTTAAGCTCGTCTTCTAGATCTGAAATTAAAATCGTAAATTAAATTAATTAACAAGTAACTAAATAATAAAATAGTTGTAAATTATACCTAACGTTTGATAGCATGATGCCAACGTTTGCACACCAGCATACATTCTTTTAAATCTTTGTACGGTGGAATCAAGTTCAAAATATATTCCAATATTTCATCAGGTAAAAAATCGATTGGACTAGCCATTGTTTTAATTTAATACTATTTACAGTTTATTTTTAAAATAATTATTTTTGCATCCACATATAAATTTAGAAAATTACTACTAATGATTATTACTACTATTACAAAAATACAAATAAATAGTTTTATACTTCATTATCCTTGAGATTATAAGGCCTTATTAATACAAATTATTTTGTTTTTAAGAATTATCATTTGATTAATTTTACAATGGTAATAAAATAAATTTTCACAATAAAAAACGTAAGATTTGAAAGTTAAGAGCGGTTTATAGATAATATCTATTTTGATTGCTATTGTCGTGAAGAAAAACATTTTTTTTTTTTTTTTAATTACAAATTACATAATTATCAATAAATGAACCTCCATTCAGGTCTTAGCTTCATGCAGATGTTTTAATTTTAGTGAAAAAATCGAATAATGAAATGTAAAAAAAAAAAACAATAATTAAATATAACGAAATGATCAAAGTAAAAAAAAAAATAATTATATAATTATAGTAAAGTGATGTAATGTTCTTATAAAATTGATGCAAATCTATTTAGCCAATTGTTTAATTTTGATTAATATCTTTTAGTAGAATATTTACAATCAGCCATGCAAGATATTTAATAAATAAGTCTAAATGATAACACCATGACGTGAAAACTGTTTGTGCGGCCCGTACAATAAATCCATGAGCAATTGGACATTTATTATTTTCCAAAATACAACTCTGAAAAGAAAGTATTCATTAGTAATTTTTTCAAATATTAAAATGTTTTAAAAATATTAAAACATATCGGCTTACTTGTGCGATGAGTTCATGTGTGTAGCTGTAATGATGTTCAACTTCTTGCAAGATCTTCCATCCGTCCGTGTTTGATATTTTGCGGATGAAATTAAATAACTTCACTCTAGCCGCCTTCAGCTTCTTAATGGCCTCAACACACTCGGCGCAATTTAAACTACATGGAGTGTAATCCATGATTTACGAATCTATTTATAACTGAAATTTGAGCTATTATTATATTTTTTTATCGTTTGTTTTTTTATATAATTTTCAAAAAAAAAAAATATCAAAAACATCAAAAAACGATAAAATATAAATTTTATCCAAAAACATGCGAGCCAAAATTTTTTCCAACTTTTAAAAGCAAAGAAATTTTTATTTTTTTTTTTTCACGATAAATTTTATTATGAATGCGCCATAAAAATAAGCTGAATAAAAAAAAATTTGAAATATTAATTTTTTTAGTCTGGTTTTGGATACTTTACCTGATGAAATACAAAACAAATTACATCTTCAGCCTTAAAAAAAATGAATCCAAAAAATATAAGTACATTCGTATCCTTGAAATTGCAACAAAAATAAATAAATTATTCCGTAAATACTTACAAAAATTTTAATGTATGAAAATCACTATTTGTCACTTCTTTATAAATTAGAAAAATAATTTCAAAATCAATCTTCTGTGCAATGAACTTGGTCAAGACGAATGCTTTTCAAGAACTGTAGAAAAACACAAAAGTAAGGTATATAGTCTTCTAGACGTAAAATGAATTTTGGTGCATGTGTAAAGAAGCGGCACCTAAACTTCCACTGTAGACTTTTGGAAAATGAATAAAACTCATAGGTGATTATAGAATTAAGTAAAGAGATTACTATCATAGTTACAACCTTCGAGAAAAACAAGTTGAAGGTAATGCAAAGTAATCAAAAGATTATATACACTTAAAGAAAAATTTCTTTTGAACAGAAAGGACATTGTTGTGTATTATCCTTTTAATGATTAGAATTTACAATTGCAATTTTAAGTTAATTACTTAATAAAATTTAGTTGAAATCTATTTTTAAATTTATAATCCAAACAAAAAAATAATTGAATGAAATTCTTGCCTGTTTCTCGGAATGACTAAAATCAAAATCACCATGTCCAATGAAGAATTAATTTGCTTCCTAATCTCTGTGATAGCTTTGAGTAGAATCACTACGGAGCGGAGTTTTAATCGAGTTCCCGCACTTGACAGCCATCGTCCCGCAGACATTCTTAGGAATATTTGTAAGCTGATTCATAATCCGCTTTTTCACTGACGGTAAACTCCTCGGAGTTCGCGAAGTAAATCTCTGTTGAAGATACATCTCTTCAGCGATGTCATCCGATAAACAGAGTCCCCAGTCGAATGGCAACAGACTTGTCATTGACTGTCTGGATAAATTTGCGAATAACTATGCGACGTTCGGTCGGCTGGACCTGGTCCAGGTCTTTCATGATCTTCAAGTTGAACCTAACTTTGTCAGTCAGTCCAGTAAGGTAACAAGTTTCTGGAACCAAGAGAATTTCTTATGAAAATTAATTTAGCAGATATTTTATAATATTAAGAATTTTTTTAGCAAACAAATTATGTCAAAGAAAATAAGAAAAAGAATTGACATTTAGAAAATTACGAAAATAAAACATCCAATTTCTCAATTATAGTATTAAATTTCAAAAACCAATAATTGGTTTGAGATTGTGTTTATCTATCATTAAAAAATCATAAAACTGAAATCGGCAATCATTTGACAATTTTTTTTTATGTATTTATTATAAAAAAAAATATTTTCGAAAAATTTTCAATTGTAATTTTTCAAAATTTCTAGTCGTGAAATTTTTTTATTAAAATTTTTCCGTAATAATTAAGTTATAAAAATAAAAAAAAAATTCAGAGTCAATTGTCAACATTGAAAGAATCTCATTTTCATTTTTAATTAATTTTATTTATTTTATATGATTAAAAATATTAATTTAAAAATTACAGTTAAGCAAGTTTAAATTTATTATTACATTTTCTTATCAAAATTGAATTTATAAAACATAGTTACTAATTAAATTTATTTATTTCAGCATGACGATGATCTTCCATACGAAGAAGAAATTCTCCGCAATCAACACTCGGTGAGACACTGGCTGCGGTACCTGGACCACCTGAAGTCCACCAAAAGCACAAACTTAAGCATTGTATATGAGCGTTCTTTAAAAGAGCTCCCCGGTAGTTACAAACTGTGGTATGGATACTTGAGCCACCGGGTGAGTCAGTTGAAAAATCGTCGACTAGATGATCCGTTGTACGAAGACGTGAACAACGCCTTTGAACGGGCGTTGATTTTTATGCATAAAATGCCCCGTATTTGGATCGACTACTGTACATTGATGACCGAGCAGTGCTTCATCACGAGAACTCGACACATATTTGACCGGGCTTTGCGAGCTCTCCCAATCACCCAACATCACCGTATCTGGCTTTTGTATTTAGACTTCGTCAAGAGCCATGACATCCCTGAGACCGGCATCAGAGTCTTCAGGAGGTACCTCAAGCTCGCTCCAGAAGACACAGAAGATTATATTGAATGTTTAATTTCAATCGGCCGCTTAGATGAAGCTGCTATCAAGCTTGCCCACATCGTCAACCAAGATGACTTCATCTCCAAGCACGGAAAGTCGAACCACCAGCTCTGGAACGAGCTTTGCGATTTGATCTCCAAAAATCCGGACAAAATCAAGTCGCTAAAGGTCGACCCGATCATCAGAGGCGGTCTCAGGCAGTACACTGACCAAGTAGGCTCCCTCTGGAACTCCCTAGCCGATTACTACATCCGCAGCGGCTTGTTTTTGAAAGAGCCAGAGACATTTACGAGGAAGCGATTCAAACTGTTTCAACAGTCAGAGACTTCACCCAGGTTTTCGACGCTTACTCGCAGTTCGAAGAAATATCGGCGAAGAAACGCATGGAAGAAGTCAGCAAAAACCCCAACAGGACTGAAGACGACGAAGTGGAGCTAGATCTACGGCTCGAGAGATTCGAGTACCTCATGGAGCGAAGACCTTTGCTTCTCAACTCAGTTCTGCTGAGATAGAATCCTCACAATGTTCCTGAATGGCATAAGCGTGTGAAACTCTACGAAGGGCAGCCTCATGAAATAATCAACACTTTTACAGAAGCAGTCCAGACAGTGAAGCTTCAATTAGCTGTTGGAAAATTTCACACCCTCTGGGTGGCCTTTGCAAAGTTCTATGAAGAAAACGGACAGTTGTCTGATGCGAGAGTGGTCTTTGAACAGGCCACTCATGTTCCGTATACTAAAGTTGATGATCTGGTTTCTGTGTGGTGCGAGTGGGCGGAGATGGAGCTTCGTCACTTCACTGGCAATCGCCCGGAGGAAGCTATGAAATTGATGCATCGCGCCACTGCGATGCCGTCCAGGAAAGTCGGGTACTACGACGAGACAGAGACGGTTCAGATGAGGTTGTACAAGTCCTTGAAGGTTTGGTCGATGTACGCTGACCTGGAAGAGACTTTTGGGACTGTTAAAACCTGCAAGGCTGTATATGATAATATAATTGATCTGAAAATAGCTACGCCTCAGATTATCATCAACTATGGGATGTATTTGGAGGATCAGAAGTACTTTGAAGAGGCTTTCAGAGCTTATGAGAAAGGAATTGCGATGTTCAAGTGGCCGAATGTCTTCGATATCTGGAACACTTATTTGGTTAAATTTTTGAACAGGTATAAGGGATCAAAATTAGAACGGACACGTGATTTGTTTGAACAATGTTTAGAACATTGTCCGCCAAAATATGCGAAAGTGTTTTATTTATTGTACGCGAAGCTCGAAGAAGAATATGGACTTGCTAGACACGCGATGAATGTTTATGATCGCGCTATCAAAGCTGTGCCTACTGAAGAGAAGTTCGAGTTGTTTAATATTTATATTAAGAAAGTCGCTGAGATTTACGGCATGCCCAAGACCAGGGAAATTTATACCCAAGCTATTGAGGTCCTTCCTGAAGACGTCCCGAGAAATGTCGCTGAGGTTCGCGGAGATGGAGACCAAGCTTGGTGAAGTTGATCGAGCTAGGACTATTTATATTCATTGCAGTGAAATTTGTGACCCGCGAGTTACTTCGAGGTTCTGGCAGATTTGGAAGGAGTTCGAAGTCCGTCATGGAAACGAGGAAACGATGCGTGAGATGCTGAGGATCAAGAGGAGTGTACAGGCGATGTATAACACTCAGATTAACATGATGACCGCGCAGATGCTAAACAGTACCACTCCGACGGAAAATACTGTTGATGCGATGAGACTGCTGGATATGAAGGCTGCTGATTCTGAAGAAGCTCCGCAAGGAAATGCACCAGCTCCTCCAAGAGGCACGATAAACTTCGTCAGAAGTGTCACCGAGGGAGGAAAGGATGATGGAAAGGTGAAAAATCCGGATGAGATTGAATTGGATCTTGACAGCGAAGAAGAGACAGAGGAGATTGAAGAGGAAGAAGTTCCCGTGGAAAAACAGGCGATTCCTTCGGAAGTTTTTGGAGGGTTGAAGCCTGTTGAAGAAATGGAGCAAGATTAATTGTATTCTTATTTTTAAGAATGTTATAGACAATAAATTTTTTTTTTATTTAATTATTGTATTGTATATATTGTTGTACTTGATTTCATGTTTGACAGTGATAAAAATAATTATGTTATTGTTATAATTATTGTTAAATGGCATAGCGAGGTGGATTTATAAAATGAACGTCGTTGTAAACTTCAGACACTTCGCCTTCGATTTGTCCTTGCTTGGTAGGAAATTTTCGCGTCCCACCAAAAAATATTAACTCGGCGTTACCTAGCACTAGAGAATAAAGCACACGTTCCTCGGGACCAGTGAGATCTTTGCCACTATTCTGAATCCACGAGGCGGAATGATCTTCACGTAAAACATTAGCAATATTTAAAACAAAAATAGCCAGCCTGTTGATGTTAGTTTTTATTAACCTGGCCTCCATGCGCTGGCGATTAATTCTTTCCTCCATTCTTCTCAGGTCTTCAAGCTGGCGAAGGCGATTTGGACTAGGAGTTCCCAAGTCGGGATTGAAAGCAGCCATTGGCCCGAATTTTCGCTCCACTGCCACGCGGATTCCCGGATGAGGTCTTGTGTTGTTGATTGCACGTGCTGAGTTGACCAGCACTCCCGGTCGTGGTGTAAACCTTCCACGACGTCCGTTTACATTCTCGTCTCTGTCTACAACTGGCACGGATTTTTGCCGAGTGTCCGGAAGATTGCACTCCGCCATCGCTAAGGAACTGGGTCCATGACAAATTACTTTGTCGTTGGTTACATTTTTAGAGGACGCGCTCGCTTGCTTTTTCTTGCTTAAAATTATTAAATGTTCACCGACTTTGCATGCTTGATGACACCATATCATCATCGGTGCCCACTCCAGACCATTTATTGTTAGCTTTGTCCACCTCCAGTGGGTTCCTTCCATGGTCAAGAGCCACGCGTCGTCGATTCCTACCGTTGGATTTGTACAGCCGCCTATTATCATCAGGTTCTTGTCGTCCAGTGCGATCTGTGAGTGCCCGAATCGCGGGTGAGGCTTTGGAGAGGTTGTTATTTGCTCGTGCCAGGTGTGTGTTTCCAAATTAAAGCACCAAATGTCATTTGAGGTGTTGTAACTATAAAAAAAAATGATTAAATTTCTAAATAAAAATTTAAAATTAGTTAGCCGACATCTAAAAATTTTTAGAATTTTTTTTTGATGAAAAAATTAATTAAAAAAATTTTTATTTGGAAAAAAAGTTGAAAAACTATAAGTGCAATTTTTTAATTAAAATAAATAAAAAAAAAACACAATTTAACTTTCAATATTAAAGAAGTGAGGTTGTTCATATTTTAAATGAAAGTAATTTCAATAATTTTTTCAACAAATAAATTATGACAAAAAATTTTTTTTTAGATTGACATGTAGGAATTGTATAAAATAAAAAATGCAATTTTTTATAAATAATTTTTTGGAATAAATTTGCTTGAAGAAAATTAAAAAATTGTAAAGTGACAGTTAAATTTAATTTTATGTGTTGATTGTTTCAATGTGTAAATTTTTTGTTAATTAATATTAATTACTTTGCATTTATTATTTGAAATATATTTGTATCTTTTTTTTTAACTTTTTATGTTTTTAGGGAAAAAATTAAACAACGTCGGCTAACTTAAGTATTAATTAAAAAAAAAAATAAAAGTGTTTCTTACTGCAAAAAAGTACTGATTCCACCAAAAACTACCATCAGATTCCCATGAACTGTCGCTGAATGAGCACACGTCGCTGGTGGATCATTTAAAGTTTCAATGGCAGTCCATTTGTTATTTGTTATCGAGTAAATATGCAATTCATTGAATAATTTCCTCCTCTATAATAAAAATATTTATTAGATAGTATAATTATTAATTATTACTTTTATAATTTTTTACCTGAAAAGGAGGAAAGGTAGCAGGTTGCGCCCACCCACCATATAACACAAATGATTTTTTGTAATAAACCATGCTAGCACAAGCTTTTGGTGACGGATAAGTACCCATAGGTATCGGACGTTCCCACTTTCTCGTATCTAAATCTAACTTCCATAAATCATTAAAAGTAGTACCAGTTTTGGTACATCCTCCAAAAATATACATTGAATTTTCGTATGTACAAGCTGAATGTGAATGACGGTTTGTAATTATTGATGGTCTTTCGCTAATGGCTGGTGAGTTCCATAGCAAAGATCCATAGGCTACTGATCTTTGGAAATAAGCTTTTCTATGCTCTATCACATCTGCAAAACCAATACAAATTAATTAACAATTATTCTATAAGAATAAATTAATTAACAAGTAACTAAATAATAAAATAGCTGTAAATTATACTAACGTTTGACAGCATGATGCCAACGTTTGCACACCAGCATACATTCTTTTAAATCTTTGTACGGTGGAATCAAGTTCAAAATATATTCCAATATTTCATCAGGTAAAAAATCGATTGGACTAGCCATTGTTTTAATTTAATACTATTTACAGTTTATTTTTATAATAATTATTTTTGCATTTACATATAAATTTATTTTGATTAAAAATAGACTTTGACACTTAGCTTTTGTTATAAATGAATTATCTAACCTCAATAACAATTAAATATTCATTTATGACACATGAAAAATGTTTATCAATAAAAAAATATATATAAAAATTTATTTTCAATTATTTTATATCTTATTTGATATTTTTAGGCGTATGACACGTTAATTAAACCTAATTAACATTTTTTTACAGCTGTTATTTGTATTTTCTATTATTTCATTTGATTTTTATTGTTATTATTTTTATACTTATTATTATTCTTAATTTTATTTTTATTTATGATTATTGTGGCTAATATTATTACTATTGTTATTATCACTATTATTGTGATTATGACGGTTGACGTCCATGTTGTAAAATTAGTACGAGTTTCCAACGGTAGAAAACGCTCCAACCCAAGCGAGCGTTTGGTCACGCAAATAAAAAAAAAGAACTCTGCTACACTACGTAATTGTCAGATTATTGTCATAAATCTCATTGTAATAAATTACTTTTAACGTGTGGGTGTAGGTATTGTGTTGCCGGAGAGGAGAGAGAGCTGCAAAAAGTAAAACGTGGTATCGTTTAAAAAACACACTTGAGGAAGCCACTCGCCAGTGGCTAATTTTTGTTTAAGTTAAGTAGAAAAAAATGTCAGCTACTTTTGTACAACGCGGTCGTGTACCGCCAACACCAGCTCAAATACAGAAGGTACGTGATTTACTCCATTGTTAATATAACCTTTTTTTTATTTAAATATCTATGTTACATTTATATTGTTGCGGTTGCCGATTCGAGTATGAGCAGATTTTTAATTTTTTGCTTTTCAGATGCTTGATGAGAATAGTCATCTGATACAGACCATCCAGGAGTATCAGAATAAAGGAAAACCTCAGGAATGCTTACAATATCAACAGATATTACATCGGAATTTAGTTTATCTCGCTTCTATTGCTGACGCGAACCAAAATGTCCAGGCACTGTTACCGGTAATTATTTAAAGTATTGAATTAAAATTTTATTTTTGCTCCAAAATAATTGGGTCTGTTGTATCGCAAAGGTTCATTATTACTATTTATCCTTCTTTTTGTTAAATAATTAATAACTTTATAATTTTTTTACTCCATATTCTTTCAGGCTATTAAAATAATTAGACTCCAAAATTAATGACAAATTATTTAAATGTTACATTTTATTTTTATAAAATTTTAAAACATTGAAATTAAAAAAAGAGTTCTAAATCTTCAGATTTTTCTCCTATAATAATTTTAATTAAAAACCATACTGTATTAATTATATGATATTTAAATTAATAGACATTTGACAATTCTTAAAATTTTTATAACAAATTTATTATTATAAAAAAAATTATTTTTAAATATTCGCACTTATAATTAAAAAAAAAAAATTAATAAGCATATAATTTTTTTTACTTCATATTCTTTCAAAACTATCAAAATAATTAAACTCAAAAATGAATGACAAAAATTATTTAAATGTTGTATTTTATTTTTATAAAATTTTAAAACATTTATTAAAATTAAAAAAGAATTCTAAATTTTCAGATTTTTCTATTCTAATAATTTTAAACAAAAACCTTACTGTATTAATTATATGACATTGAAATTAATAGACATTTGACAATTCTTAGAATTTTTATAACAAATTTATTATTATAAAAAAATTATTTTAAAATATTCGCACTTATAATTAAAAAAAAAAATTAATAAGCATATAATTTTTTTCTACCTCATATTCTGAAAGAATATGGAGTAAAAAACTATAAAAATAATTAAACTCCAAAAAATTATTTTAAAAAATTCGTACTTACAATTTTTAAAAACTTTCACATGTAGAATTTTTTTTAGTAAATTTGTTTCGTTACAATTTTATTGTCATAAAAATTTTTTAAATTATGTCTGTTAAATTCAATTATTTGTTAATAATAATTACTATTGAAGATGAATAATTTTATTTTTAATTATTAACTAATACTTGCAACAATATTTTAAATCTCATCTAATAATTTTTAATTTAGCCGCCCCAGGGAATTCCACCGATGACAAATGGCCCTCAACATGGAATGATGGGTCCCCAAGGTCCTCCAAACGTCGCTCCGGGTACTCCAGGTCCTGGAGGTGAAATGCCGCCGAATCCACCTCAACCGATGCCAATGCAAGGCTTCAATCAAGGACAGCCAATGCCGCAGGGAGGCTACCGTGGTCCGATGCCTGGACAAGGTCCCCCAATGAACAGAGCAAACCCGGGACCTGGACCTCAACAATACCGAGGTGGTCCCCAAGCTTATCCTCAACAACCAGGTCAGCAAGGTTACCCTGCAGGTTACGGAGGACAGAATCCTGGTGGAAATTACCCTCAAGGTCCTCAAGGAGGTGCTTATGGAGCCGGTCAGCCTAACCAGTACCCGCCTAATGCGCCCCAGCAAGGGTACCCAGCGTCGTCGCAGCAGAATTACGGTCCTCCAACTTCTGTTAACAGTTATGGTGGCCAACCAGGTGCTTACCCTCCACCAGGAGGCAATCAGCCTTCAGGAGGCTACGGTCCACCCCCACCGAACCAGCAAGGATACCCTCCACCAACCACGCAGCAGAACTTCTCGCCTAATCCTCAGCAACAGCAGCAGCAACAACAGCAGCAACA